CCCCAAAACCCCAAAACCCCAAAACCCCAAAACCCCAGCCTTAGGTAATATTGCTGAAAATAAAATAATTAAAATAAATAAAATATGGGTTGTTCAAATTCAGGGAAAGCACACCCCCCAACACAACATAGACCTCCGCCAGGAGCTCATCAGCCTGGATATCCTCAACAACAGATGGGATATGCTCCTCAGCAGCCTCAACCAGTTTACCATCAGCAGCCTGGATATGCCCCTCAGCCTATGGCCCAGCCAATGGCCCAACCAATGGCTCAGCCAATGGCTCAGCCACAGCCAAGAGCTCACCACAAGCCTCAAGCCAGACAACAAGCTGCCCCCGGTTCTACAGGTATACCTATTATTGTTCCTTTTTATAGTTGTGCATCACTATCACCATCATGATCCAAGCGCTGAATATCGCAGACACCCAGACGATCCTTACAAGAGACACAGAGTTGTGAGAAGAAGGAACAGCAGAGGGTAGGTCTCCAATCTAAATTTGCAAAAGCTAATACCTTCATGGTCCAATATTAACTGCTTTCAGAAAAACTAGATCATGTTAGGAACGCCCACGATTATCTTGAATTATTTCTTTGGGTGCAAAGGGCTATGAGTGTAGGAGATCTTAGCCGAGAGGAGACTAGTCTACGTGATAATTCAGTTGATATGATCTTGGGAATATCTTGTTCTGATCTCACTGAATTAAAAATTTTGACAACCGATATCGTACATCCAAATTTTTAGTTTAAGATTTTATTTGAAATTATCGAGATTAGGATATCTTTTGAGTTGCTTAACTGAAGAAGAATGACTAGCATTGTTGAATATCCACTATCTCTATAATACATATAAAATTTGTAGAATAAGAGTCTGTATCTTTTCAACTTCGTACTGAATGCTCTCCATAAAATATTGTTTGATTTTATTCAAGCTCAACCTTACTTTTCAAAACAGTCTATCATTATTTCATTTAAAGCATAACACTTTTATGTATCTAAGATATATCAAATATGATTTAGAAAACAGTTACATAATTTTAGCTCTTATTCCTTAGGCTCTTTGCTAACTCCTTGACTATAGAGAATCTTTTGACAGTATTATATCAAGTATTTTCAGTGATTTGTGGAGTAAGTCACAAACTCATAATGAATAGGCAACAGTAGTCATAGTCCAAGAAGATATGGAGCAGGAGGATATTCTCGTCATCAAAATGTTGACACTGATATTAATATTGTTAACCAGAACATCAACCAAACTATTGTGAACAATAACATTGCTCAAGAGGCTCCTCAAGCAGTGGATGCAGCTCCTGAGAATGAAGTTCCATTGGATCAAAATGCTGCAATTGAACAACCTCCAGCTGAAGAACCAGCCCCAGAAGAGCCTGCTCCAGAAGAGCCTGCTCCAGAAGAGCCTGCTCCGGAAGAGCCCGCTTCAGAAGAGCCAGCCCTAGAAGAACCCGCTCCTGAGGAACCTGCTGAGCCAGAATATGTTGAACCTGAACCAGAGCCAGAGTATGTTGAGCCAGAACCAGAGCCTTATGAAGAACCATACCAAGAACCCGAACCTTACGAAGAGCCAGAGCCAGAATATGAAGAGCCTGAACCAGAACCAGAATATGAAGAACCTGAATACGATGAACCTGATGATGGAGGAGATTATTAAGGATGGAAAGTAAAAAGAGTGTTATAAATCAATAACAATTTGCCTATAAATTATCTTTCTTTCTCGAATTCAATTAAAATCTTGACAATAACTAGCTCGTTTATTATCCAAGAAAATAGTTTAAACGGGATAATCTTGCTTTAAATTCCTATAGAATTCCTTTGAAAAGTATTATTCTGGTTTGTAATAGCTTAAAACTCTTCTAAGAGACACAGAATTAGGAGCTCGAACTTTATACAATTCAACTTGCGTCAATCTTTCTTGGTATCATTATTTAAAAACAATTAAATTCAATATTTATTTAGTTAGCTGGGGTTTTGGGGTTTTGGGGTTTTGGGGATTGGGGTTTTGGGGTTTTGGGGTTTTGGGG